AAAAAAATCCCTAAGTCTTTTCTTTATATAGCCAATTCTTTATGTTCATGATAATAAAGAGGGCCCTGGGCAAATCAATAGTGGATTATAGACAAATTGTTTTTATTTGGCTATAATGTCTCCATGATCGGATTTTGGCACCAGAGTTGAATGCCTAATTAATCTGTTTGGTCTTGGGTGAAACTGGTGCATCTTTCATCTTATCACTCCACCAGAACTTTCCAGCCATATTTCCTGCTGTTCCCTGACTCAAACCCTGTGTCAGAGAACAAGTCACATTGTTTACAGAACACACCATGCTCATCTGTTCCTCTGCAACTGCTCACGTATTCCCTTCTGCCTAGAGAACGCTTTTGGTTACCCTTCTCTATCCAAATTTTGCAAGCTCTTCTATGTACAACTCAAGTCCCCTTCTCTTGACACCTCCTAATATGTCAGCTGGTGGGATCCTTCTGCATTCAGATCTCTTCTGCAATTTAACTCTTCTTACATGCACTATTTCTATTCAGGATAGAAACAATGGTTTCCACTTCCCTCCTATCAACCCCTTAAGGTCCAGTTTGGTGTGAGAAGTATGTAGGAATCCTCAGTCAACACTTGTAAAACAGAATTGAATTGCAGTGATGTCTCCATTCTCTTCTGCCTCTGAAATGTGTACAGGATACTCTGAGGTCCTATTTAAAAATGAATAAACTTAACCAAAAAAAAGCTAGGATATTCTTGAAAAGGAAATAAAAAGAGTCAAAGAAAGCATGAAGAAGCACGAGTATGGAGAGCAGTGGATTTAGGATGTGAGGAAGAGAGAAACGATTATTTCTCTACAGTCTTCTGAACAATTAAATTGGTTTTCTGTATCTATTAATTCTTCCTAGTGCATGAATGATTTCCTTATTTTATTTTGTGGGAAATAATATACAGATTATACATTAAGATATAAAGTATGCATACTAGAAACCACTGGCTAATGTGAAAATTAATAGAACAAGACATGTTTTTACATAAAGCTCAGTAGCTTAAAACCAACAAACATCACAAGGTATAAAGTGTAAGAAACTTGATCCTCCCAACCGCTGCCATGCCCTTTAAAAATGGCTGACCTGTCAATTTCACACCCGTGCTGTATGGCAAGTTTTAGGGTAAGCAAATAGAACAGTGGATTTTTTGAAAAGAAAATATTTACCTGATTAACACATAAGAGAGTGTTTATGTGTGTGCGTGTGTGCGTGTGCGCGTGTACATGTAGAGTATGTTACATATAATGTAATATAGACACACATATATTATTCAAACATCCTAAAAATGACAATAATGGCAGTGAACATAGCCCACTAATACTATGTGTAGTGATGTATGTAATATGTGAAGTTTGATCCTTTCCTTGAAGAGACGCATTCTATCAGGTTAGAACTGAGATTAAAATGCTAACACAAAGACATGCCTATTTTTTGAGGCAGAGTTCAAAGAAAAGCAGTGTATATCCTGGAAATGTAGTAGCATGCCATATAACAGCTTAAAACCATCAGCAATTAGTCTTTTAAGACTTAAACAACAGCCAGATATAAGTCTACTATATCGTAGAATTCATCAATATCATGTATCGGTTGACTTGATTCTGAGTGGAAACATATTTA